GTTGGGGGAGAGAGGACAGGTGATGGGGGAGAGAGGACAGGTGATGGGGGAGAGAGGACAGGTGATGGGGAGAGAGGACAGGTGAAGGCAGAGTGATGGGGGAGGAGAGAGGACAGGTGAAGGCAGGGGGCAAATGTCTTGATGGTTGTTGACTAGAGTGTGAGCCCACAATTTTGAGGCCTTCTATAGACATGTAGCCATTTGGACTGTGTAAAAAAAAATCAATACTTGTTTTATTATTTAACAAAGGGAAGGTGAAGGAAGAAAAGGAAGAGGAAAGTGGATGGAGAAGGAGGGTGAGGAGGAGGAAGACAAGGAGGAAGGTTTCTTTGATCCCCCTGTTCGGGAGGTTTCAGTCTGTGATCGTTTGGTCTTGGTGATTTGGGTCCCATTTTTAGGCAGCACATCCTGTCGGGAACTGTGGCAGAACAGCAGATTTCTTGCCTTCTGGCTTGGGCATGAGGGAAATAAAGAGAACGAAGCCGGGATCCCACACTCCCCTTCAACACATTTTCTATGACTTTAAGCTTCCAGCTAGCCGCACCTGAAGTTTCTCCCACCCCCCCCACCCCCCCACCCCCCGATATCACTGAGCTGGGGGATCAGGGTTCCGTCACGTGGGTCTTTGGGAGTCTATATCCTAACTTTCAACATAGGTCCAGCATCTGCAGGGGCTCAGAGAGTGAAACTGAGGAAGGCAGGCTTCAAGTCAACGGGTCTTCTAGGAGGAAACAAGTCCGAGGACGTACCACGGGCACCACCCCAAATTTTAGCCTTGGCTTGAGGCTTCTGGGGCGCGGAACAGCGTGATGGCACAGCCTGTCCTCTCTCCTCCAGGCACAGCCACCTGTGTAGCCTCGGGCTACCCCCACTACCTGACCTTCGATGGAGCTTTGCACCATTTCATGGGGACCTGCACTTACCTACTGACAGAGCCTTGCTGGTCCAATTATCACGAGACTAACTTTGTTGTGAGCGCCACCAACGAGATCCGTGGCGGCAACCTGGAAGTTTCCTATGTCAGAGCTGTGCACGTGCAGGTCTTTGATCTCAAAATCTCCCTGCTCAAAGGTCGAAAGGTCGTGGTATGTTTTCTACTGCCTCTTGGACCCCACAACCCCGACCTCTTTCTCCTTGTTTCTTTTAGTTATCGTTGTTCTTGAGGTGGGGTCTCAGTGCTCAGGCTGGCCTGGAACTTGCTTTGTAGCTGAGGATAACTTTGAACTACAGTTCCCCCTGCTTCCACCTCCAAGAGCCAAGCTCCAAGACACTTTCTTCCCACTCCCCGTTTGCTTTAAAGCCCTGCTCCATGAGGGCTGTGCCCCAAGCTTCTGACGCCCTCCTTCCTCCCTCTCTCCCTCTCTCTCCTCCCTCTCTTCACTCCTCCCTCCCCCTCCTCTCTGTCCCCCTCTCTCCTCTCCCCCTCTCCCTCTCTCTCCCTCCCTCCTCTCCCCCTCTCCCTCTCTCTCTCTCCCTCTCTCCCTTTCTCCTCTCCCTTCTCTCTCTCTCTCTCTCTCTCTCTCTCTCTCTCTCTCTGGTCCTGCCCACTTCTGCAGCTGAACAACCACAGGGTGGCACTCCCTGTGTGGCCTTCAAAGGGACGGGTGACCATTCGGTTGAGTGGCATCTTTATCCTGCTCTACACGAACTTCGGCCTTCAAGTTCGATATGATGGGAACCACCTGGTGGAGGTGACAGTGCCTTCCTCATATTCTGGCTTGCTCTGTGGGCTATGTGGTAAGCGCCTTCCCCGGCCCCCATCTCATTAAGTGTCCTCAGGACTTGTCGACCGATGATGGAGTTGGGGACATGGGCCCAAGAGCCTGGGAAAGGCAGAGGGGAAGAGAACAGGGTTTCCAGATGCGGTAGGACATGCCTGGAGTCATGGTGCTCGGGTAGAGGCAGGAGGACCAGGGTTAGGGTCATCCTTGCTGCATAGCGAGTTCACAGGCAGCCGAGCTTCATAAAAACCTGCCTCAGAGCCAGCAGAGGCGAAGGGCAGAATAGCGGAACGGGGTGTCGCTCAGCTGGCGGAGCTCTTGCCTAGCAGGCAGGAGGTCTTGGCTCTCATGCCCAGCACTCTGCAGACCAGGTGCATTAGTGCATGCCTGCAATCCCAGTCCTCAGGAGGGGGAAATAAAACAACGCAGAGCTCATCTTTGGCTGCACAGCTGGTTCAAGACTAGACTGATGAGCATGAGACCTTGCCATTAAGAAGAAAAGAAAAGCCAGGAAAACAAAAGAGGAAAAGGCCAGCTTCGAGGCGTCCCCTAGGCTGGCAGGACCGAAGGCTCCTGGGCCGCCTCTACAAGCCTCTCTTCCTCAGGGAACTACAACAACAACAGCTTGGACGACAATCTCCAGGCAGACAGGAAGCCTGCAGGCACATCGCTCATGCTGGGAGCCTCGTGGAAAATACTCGAGGCCTCGGAGCCTGGGTGAGCTGAGCCTGGGTGGACTCTGCTTGGGTGAGCCAGGCCTGGCAAGGGAGGGCCGAGCCATAGGGAGTGAGGCCTAGGGGAACTGGTCCCTGGGGGATCTGCAAATGACTGTCCCTAGTATGTCCGGGCTCCCGCTGTGCTGCAGCCCCTTCTACCAGGAGTCCAGTGTGCTTTCCTCCTCATCTTCTCTGAGTGCCCTGGTACTGGAGAAGGGCTTCAGGGCCTGGCCCATGGCAGGTACACACTCAACCACGGGCCAGGGTTCCACCTCTGACCTGAAGCTAGAGGTTTGAAAAGTGGCTCCAACAGGGCTGGGTGTGAAACCAGCAGGAAAATGCTCTCCTAGAATTTGTGACCCTCTGGGTTCCGCCCCTGACACCACATAAATCAAGCATGATGGTACATGCCCGTAATACCAACAGATGGGAGGTGGAGACGGGGATCAGCATTCCAAAGTCACCCTGGGCCTTATAGTGAATTCAAGCCTAGTTTGGGATACATAGACCCAATCTCAAAAAATGGTTGGCGGGGACTGAGGAGGTGGAGAAGGATTTCACAGTGCTGCTGCTTTGTAGAGGATCCAGGTTCAGTCCCCGCACCCACATGGCAGCTCACAGCCACCCACAACACTGCTAAAGGGGACCCGATGCCCTCTGCTGGCCTCTCTAGGCTCCTGCACGCATGGGAATGTAGCCAGGCACCTAAACTGATAAACTAAACACCAAAAATAAATAATGAACATAAACATGCTTAGCATGGTGGCTCAGGTCTTCAAGCCCAGAAATCGGGAGGCAGAGGCAGGTGGATCTCTGTGAGTTCCAGGCCAGCCTGGTCTAGAATGAGTCCAGGCCAGCCAGGGCCACACAGAGAAACTCCGTGTCAAAGTTAAGTACAATTGCTCGCCAGCTGACTTCTCTCATGCTTGCCCTTGACACCCGCTTGAGAAGTCCTGTTGACCTCTGGCCTTCTCCCTTCCCGATGCATCCCTGGCCACCAGGAGGGGCACTGTTTCTTCCGTTTCCTCCCTGGCTGAGCTTCAGCTTGGCCGACTCTTCCTCAAGCCTGAGTTTCTAACCTTTCCTCCCCTCCTCACCCAGCTGCTTCCTGCTCGGGGGCAAGCCCTCCAGCTGCGAAGAGAACATGGATGACGCCTGGTCTAGGAACTGCGATATCTTAATGAATCCTGTTGGTGAGAGACGTCCCCTCACAGGCCCTTTGTCCTCCTCCCTGGGCGTGACCCTGGCAGGTCGAGATGGGAGAAAAAGCCAGAGGAGAAGCAAATAGAAAGGCAGGGAGGCTAACAGGAATGCAGAAAGCCGGAGCTTACCTTCGGAGGAGCCATGACTGATGGGCCCTCGTCACCAGAGGGTCCCAGCAAACCTGGTTCTGTCATTGCTGTTTTGTTCGTTTTCATTTTGAGACATGGTCCCACGAATCCCAGGCTGAGCTTGAACCTACTGTGCAGCCAAGGATTTCCTTGAACTTGTGATCCACCTGCCTCTGCCTCTCGAATGCCTGGGAGCACAGATGTCCACCATCACATGCAGTTTCTGTGGTGCTGGGATGGAGCCCGGGGCGGGGCAGGCAAACGCGGCTGAGCTTCATTCCCAGTTCCTGTCTGACTTGTTTTGCTCTTTTCCGGATAAGGTCTCAGTTTTAGCCCAGGGTGGGCTCAGTCTCTGAGTGTAGCTCAAGCTGCCCTTAAAATCATGGTGATCCCCCTGCCTCATTCTCCCACATGCTGGGGTCACGGGCCTGTGGTGCCATGCCTGACTGGCCTAGGCCTGGATGGAAGTGGATGTTACGTAAGCTGTGCAGGCACTGAGGGGCTAGCTCAGCTGTGGAGTCCTGTCTTGCGAGCACAAGATCTGAGTTTGATCCTAGAACCCAAATATAAAAACCTGAATGTGGGGCTGGGAGTAAAGACAGTTACCACCAAACCTGAAGACCCGAGCTCAGTCCGTGGAACCAACTCCAGAAGGGTGTGCTCTGACCTGCACCGGGGTCTTGGGGCACGAGTACCCCCTCTCCACAGAGTAATAATAGTAATAACAGCAACCACAATACTACTTCTACTACTAATAATTAGTAACTTCAGGCGTGGGGCCGTCACCCCAGGGCTGAGAAGCAGAGGCAGGTGGGCCCCTGGCGCTCCCCGGCCAGCCACCTTAGCCCACTTGGCAAGTTCCGGCTTGGCCAGTGAGAGACCATGTCTCAAAAAGTAAGACAGAGGGCACAGGTGCCGCCGTCAGATCCCGAGGGCTCACAAGGCAGACACGCGTCCTGTGGGCTGACCTTGACCTTCATGTGTGCCTCTACACACACACTCACACACAGTTAGCGTGTATGAGGGGCCAGTAAGATGGCTCAGCACCTGAAGCTGCTTGCTCCACCTTGAGTGTACATCATCCCCAGGACGCATGTCCGTTGGGAGGAAGCAGCTCTCCAGTGCTTCTCTGGCCTCCCCATGCCACAGCGTAGATGTCCAACATGCGTGTCACACACACAGCAGTGCCGTAGCGCATGCGCCCATTTGTGCACGCACCGCTGCCACTGTGAGACCCGGGGCCCACGCTCAGGAGTCCAAGATGACGCCCCTCCCAGAAACTCCCCCAGACCACGACTCCTTGCAGAAGCAAGAGGTTTATTAACCATTGCGCAATGGGCTCACCCCTGCCGGTCAGCAAAGAGTGGCACCCCGGAGACAAAGGCCTTTAGGTTTTTAAAAGAAAAACTGCGGGAGATTTGAAGTCGCAGTTTTGGCAATTTAGGATTGGATGAGGAAGCTATAAAGTGAGATGATTGGTTACTCTTAGGTGCTCAAGCCTGGCCAGTCCTGCCAAGTGTGGATGCAGCTGCAATTGAAGGTGGGGGTGGTTTAGCTCATCCTTGAAGATTAGGGCTGGAGGTCAGGAGCTACTCAGAAGAAGGATTGAGGCCGTCTGGGTTGGTTGCTAAGAAACACTATCTCGAAGACAAGGGTCTGGTCGTCCTTTTTTCGAGTGAAGGTCATTGCTTGCTTGCTTTTTTATATCTGTCCTCACAGATAGGGTCACATTCCTCTGTTCTCTGGAAAGGCACTAAGAGGCTTTAGCTTAACCTGGACCTAAAACTCAAAGCTCTAGGCTTTAGAAGACATACATGTTACAAAGTTAGTCTGAACCTTTCACCACTACCGAATTAAGTCCGAGGAGGACTCCTGAGGACCGACTCCTGAGTTGCCCTCTGGTCTCCTCCTGCACATACAGATACCCCCCTCCCGCTCTCAGTGAGCTGTGTGGACACTTGAAGGCCGCTCGCCGGGCTCACCCCGTCTCCCCTGTCTTCTCCCCCAGGGCCTTTCTCCAGATGCCACGAGGCAGTGGCCCCGCAGGCCAGCTTCTCCAGCTGTGTGTACGGCCAGTGTGAGACCAAGGGGGACAGGCTGGCCCTCTGCCACTCCCTGCAGGCCTATGCCTCTCTGTGTGCCCTGGCCGGCCACGTGACAGCCTGGCGCAACAGCACCTTCTGCCGTGAGTGGTCCCGCTCCCCCGCTAGCTCCTAGAGCTTTGGGGAACCCCGAGAACCGTGTCCTCTCGCATCTAGAGCTGTGTGTCTGCACCCACAGCCACGGGGAGCGCCCTCCTTCCTCCCCTTCTCTGCCTCCACCTTGGCTCTGTCCTCTGTCTTACAGCAGTGGGCCAGAGCCTTTGTAGTCCCTGTTTGTTGTGTTGTTTTGTTGTGTTTCCGAGGCAGGACCCTAGGATCTCATGTAACCCAGGCCAGCCTCAAACCTGCTGTGCAGGTGAGGAGAGCAGGGTTGCAGGCATATACTACCGTGCCTGACTCGTTAAATATTTGCCTTGTGTCTAGCTGCCGTCCCCTTCTCCCAGGCCACTTTCTTTTAACAAAGACCTTCTTTAAATTAAAAAAAAATAATAATAATTAATTAATCTTGAGACAGAGTCTCACTGTGTAACTCTGGCTGCCTGGACCTGGCTATGTAGATCAGGTTAGACAAACACTCGTGGAGGTCCACCTGCCTCTGCCTCCTGGGATTAAAGTGCTGGGATTAAAGGCTCGAGCCATTCTCCTGGCACAAGCAGTCTTTAAATTGTTTTAAATTTATGTTGTTTTCTGTTTGGGTTGGCTGGTTTGGCTGTGTGTGGTGTGTCTGTGGGTCTTTTGTGTGTGCATGTATGTATAAGCCATGGTGCACGTGTGGAGGTCAATGGACAACTTGCTGGAGTTGGTGCTCTCCTTCCACCACGAGGGTCTGGGGTCAACCTCAGGTCAACAGGCTGTCAGCAAGCTTCTTTACCCTCTGATCCATCACTGGCCTCTGTGTGGACACACATGTATGCAGGCATGTGTGTGTGTGTGTGTGAGTGTGTGTGTGTGTGTGTGTGTGTGTGTGTGTGTGTGTGAAGACCAGAGGCTGCCCTCAGGTGTCTTCCTTGATCTCTCTGCACTATTTTTTGCTGAGGCAGGATCTCCCAGTAAACCTGGAGCCTTTCATGAGATAGTCTAGCCAGCCACCCCGGGACATCCTGTCGCAGCCTCCTGCACGATGGGATTACAGGTGACAACCAGATCCGCCAGCTTGTGTGCGGCTGCCAGGGATCCGAATTCTCGTCCTTACAGGCTGTTTGGCCATCTTCCCAATCCCGTTTGTTTGGTTTCTGAGACAAAACCTTAAGTAGCCAAAATCAGTCTCGAACTCTGTATGGTCTACGGTGTTCTCAAAAAGCCTCTTGACTGCTGGGGTTTGAGACCTACAGCATTTCTTTTCCATCTTCGTAGTGCTAAGGATCAAACCCAAGGCTTTGTGTATGGTAGGCAGATCCACCACCATAGAGTTAAACCCCATCTGGGGGAAGCGGCATAGCAGTAATCAAGATTTGCCATCTGACTGACAATCCAGTCCTGCATGTGTGCAGGAAACAGTGACTTATCCACGCCACATTCTCACACCGAAGTCTATACAAATGCCCTTCACCACAGCCGGCGAGTGCATGAAACTGTGGGCGGCAGGGGCCGCTCCTGCGACCCCTGTGCTGGGGAGGCAGGACACAGAGAGAAAGACCCCGACAGGAGCAAAAGAGATTGGAAACAATTCAGATGTCTTCTCAGTTGGTCGTGCAAAGGGTAAACAAAACATGCCGTGTCCATGCAGCTACAAGAAGAATGAAGTCCCAGCTCAGCATGGAGGAGTGCTGAGAACTGTGCTCACAGGAGAAATTACGAAGGTCATATGTGATGCCATTTGTATAAAATGTCCAAAACTATTTTGGAGATCTTTAAGTGTGCAAAGTTCAGTGGTAAGAAGGCTGTTCACTTGATTCTACAACCACCAAACCCTTTCCACCATCCATCACCTGAACTTTTTCTCCCCCAGCTGAAACTCTGACCTATCAACACCCCATCCCACACCCCCGTCTCTGCAAGCTTCCTGTAAGAATTGGCATGGTGGTACATGCCTGTAATCCTAGCACTTGGGAGGCGGAGGCAGGGACATCAGGCGTTCACGGTCAGCCTGGGCTACATAGGGAGTTCCAGAACTATACAGTCACACCCTCTCCCCTCCTGTACGCCATCAAGAAGTGGACAGCACCTGAGAAACCACACCCAGGTTAGGTGTCACTATAATGGAGGTGTGACCTTAATGTCCTTGCACAGATATACACCCATCCCCACACATGCATCCACGCACATATGAATGTGTGTACACACACACAAAGAATCTCGTAGTATGTGTCCTGTGATGATCAACTTCTTTCACTTAGCATGATTTCCCAGGTCCATCCATGTTGTAGCACACACCAGGACATTCCTTCTTTTTGAGGAGGAAGATAGGATTTTAGACAGGGCTTCATATAGCTCATGCTGGCCTTTCGGCAAGTTTCCTGCCTTAGCCTCCCCCGAGCTCTGGGATGCTAGGTGTGTCCTGCCATGCCCAGGTCATAACTCCCTCTAGAAAGCGGAATCATAGTCCTTTGTAGAGCCACACGAGCCATGCGTGCAGTTGATGCTTGTAAGCCTAGCAGTCAGGAGGCTGAGGAAGGACTATGAGTTTGAGGTCAGCTTGGGCTGCAAGGCAAAATCCTGCACTGATCAAGCAGCTATAGTCAGCCAATAGAACAGGGCATGGTGGCACACGCCTGTAATCCCAGAACTGGGGAGAAGGAGGCAGGAGGATCGGGAATCCAAGGTCATACTTAGGCTAGAAAAGAAAATTAAAAGCCCATCCCATAGATTGCTCATCAGTGAATTGCCCCAGGAATTTTGACCGCGAGATCAGGAGCTAGCAATGTCATTTTGCCTTTCTTAACACTTGTGTTCCTCTCAGCTCTCAGGTGCCTACCCGGGAGTAGCTACAGCCCATGTGCCAACCCCTGCCCAGCCACCTGCCTCACCTTGAGCACTCCAAGGGACTGCCCGACGCTGCCCTGTGTCGAGGGCTGTGAATGCCAGAGAGGGCACATCCTGAGTGGGACCACCTGTGTGCCCATCAGACACTGCGGCTGCAGCTACCCAGAAGGCTTCTATCACCTGGTGAGGGGCTGCTCGTTCTCCCTTGCTGGCTTCACGTGGGTGAGGGAGGCAAGCGAAAAGAGACCAGGAAGGTGGAGGCCTCAGGGACCAAGAAAAGGTTGGGGCAGGGCAGAGCTGGGAGTGAGGACAGAGCTCGATTCTGAGAGGCTGAAAGCAAGAGTGGTGGCACCTAGAATCTCAGCGCTTGGAAGGCTGAGGTAGAAGGGTCATGGGTTCAAGGTCAGCCTGGGCTCCAGAGGGAGGCCGGGTCTCAATGAGAAGATAGATGGACAGATAGAAGGAAAAATGGAGGTGGAGGAGGAAAGAGGGGAAGGAAAGAGCAGGAGAAGGGAAGGAGGGAGAGAAGGAGAAAGATGAGGAAAGGGACAGAACCAGACTCAGCTACCCTTCTGGGTTGGGGAGGGACCCCCCCATCTCCAGTTTCCAAGTTTCCTGTAGGCTGTGCTGACGATGGCCATGCCCCACAGTTGGGGGAGAGCTGGTACACGGAGAAGCCTTGCACCACCGTCTGCACTTGCTCAGCCCCAGGCCATGTCACCTGCACCGAAGCAGCCTGTGAGGTCAACCACGTGTGCCTGCGCCAGGACGGGCGGCTGCACTGCGCTGCAGGTAAGTGGGGAGGGGCTGCAGGGCTGGGCACAGCTCTCCAAGGCTCCACACCCCTCCAGCATCCCTTCACCCCCAGCCTAGGCTGGTCTTCAACTCCTGACCTTCCTGTGTCTGGCTCCCAAGTGTTGGGATCACAGGCACGAGGCGCCACGCCTAGATCTTCTTTAATGCACATAATGTTCTACCCAGTTCACGAGACCCCCAAAGACACCAGAAGTTGACTCCGCTGCAAATACATGAGGGTTGTTTATTGTATATGTGCTCCAGCCTGGGTTGCAAAACTTCTTGTGGTGGCAGGAGAGGAATGCAGCGGGGCAATCTAGGGGAACAAGGTTTTTAAAGGGAAAAAACACAAGCAGGGAGTTACATGCCTTGGTGTTACATGATTGGGTAAGGGAAACTGACTTTTGAAATGATTGGTTGACTTTTGGCGTCAAGTCCATAAACAGTCCTGGCCATCTGGGCCAGTTTCTTAGCAACTGTGTCTCTAGTGGGCGGGAAAAGAATGCAGTAAGTCTGGTTCCTCTCCCCAGGTGGCTGGACATGTTTCTACCTGGCTGGCCTTCGTTCAGGCTTATGACTTAAACTTTAAACCAATACCCAAACAATCTAATTTTTAATTCTTTGGTCTCTCATTCCCCACTTCCCATGATCATTTGAAGACCCAATCTTGGGTCTTCCAGATATGACCGTTGGTGTCCTCCAGATTTACCTTTCCACAATGAGATCTGAGTACCATTAACTGTATCACTCCCAAGCATTCCTTCATGAAAGCCATCAAGCAATTTAAAATTCAAGGCCCAAAGGTGAAAATCAAAATGAGTAGGGGTCCCCTCAGGGTGGATATAAGGGTAGTAAGCCAAGGAGAACTATTATGCCAGGTTTTTTGTTATTCTTGCTAAGGATTTCCTAATCATTCCTGTCTGGTTTACATAAAAACAAACAACATTTCTCTCCAAGGGCTGCTGTAAAAACACCAGATCTCAGCCCCTTCTGTTTTGCAACACTACTTAAGAAAATTTTGTGATTGAGTTCTCAAAGCATTGAATAGCTTTATCAACATCTGCCTTTAAGATGCTATAGTTCTGGCTTTGTGCATCCAGGACTGCAATGCCAGTTCCTGCTCCAGCTAAGCAGGTCCCCAAGACAGTGGCTGATGTCAGGGAGCCCCTTTGGACTCAGCATCTCAGCCTGTCAGGCAGGATTATGTCCTAGTGCACTGCTTCAGTGCACTAGGACAGTTGGTTCAGGGCAGGAGGGCTGAAATACCAGTCAAAAGCTAGGCAGTGGGGCACTGTCTAATTAGCGATCCAGTTGAAGAGACGGGAGCCATCATATCAGCTGGACTGGTTTACTTCAGGTTCCAGCAAGTCCAGATCTCAGCTTGCAGTCCATAGCTGATCCCTGAATGGAGTCAACCAGGTGAAAATCTGCTAAGATTAATTCAGACTAGAGACAGAAGTTAAAATTTGTCTAGTAAATAGGGAAAGTGAGGAATCCCAAGACCAACGAAAAAGCTCATCTGGGGTCTGTTTGAGCTATGCCAGATCCAGGTCTTCTGACTTTTTGGCTTCCTGAAACATATGAATTTTTAGTTTACAAAAGGAAGTATATCAGTGTTACTATTGTATTGAGATCCATACTTTAGAAAAAGCAGTTAACAGGTGTCTACAGGACAGAAGTAGACTCATGCCATTAAGACCTAGTAAAAGCTATGGCTTTTTGATCACGTAATATATTAGACAAATGTTTTTAGCATGATGAGATGCACCTTTATCTCCAGAAGACAACCAAAAGAGAATTAAAATATCAAGCTTGTGACTGAATAATAAGCACTCAGTGCTCCATCAGCTCATCAGAACTCTATTGATCCATGTCCTAACTTTGAACTTCTGAAATCTTATAACAGCAATATCAGAGAGGAGGGAGAAATCTGAAATATCTCCCATTTTCAATGTCTTAAGTTATTTTCTTATATTATTACAACTTATATTCTTATATCTTAAAACACCTACTTAGACCCTCCATCTATCTTACATTTACCAACTTTGAAACATTTTCCTAGACCCTTAAACAATTTTTTAAATCCTCATACCTTAAACTTTCATGTCCTCTGACCTTACATAAACTTTACATCTTTCTATCCAGTTACTCACCGTAAGACACAGGCAGTTAACTTGAAGCCTGTAAGCAAGGCAAACCTGTTTCCTTTCTAAATAAAAGATCTAGTACCTAGTAGTTCTAACTAGCTAATAAATTGACCAGTGAACTAAGAGTGGATCTAACTGTCTGCTCTTTAGCTGACAATTAGCTTAGCTTAGTCATCAATGTGATCAGAGACCTGGGAAGGATAAATATAAGCTAAATAAATGTACCAGTCCATGTACTGATCAAAATGACAGTGATGACTAGTCAGTCCACCACCTAGGCAGTTGTCCCTGGCTCCTGTGGTCTCATGACATCATGAGCAGAGGCAGTCTGGCCATCAGGCATGGAAAGTGAAAGACTGTTTCTGTGGGGAAAAAAACGTGAGAGAATGGCCTCACCTCACCTTCAGCAAAGTGAAACAATGACTCTCCAGGTGTCCACAGCTTTGTCCACAGTTTAGGCTGGGCCCTAGAGGTGGGCCAGTTGGGGCAGTCTTGCCTAGTGGTTAGCATACCATAATCCAGAGTCATGTTGTGCCCAAATCTTCTCGGAGACCTTGGGCAGCTCTGCCAGGATTTTGGGAACTCTCTGTCATAATAAGCTTACACATGTTAAAATGCCATATTCTTCAGATCTCTGACAAGCTTGAGGGCCAGCATATCTGAGTTACTCTTTGTCAATCTTTATCATCTGCTCTAAACTGCATCCTATAAAACAGAATGCATAATCTCTAATTCTGACCTAGTCCTTAGATGATGAGTGTTTTAGGACCATATCTATTTCAAGTAGATCTACATAGGCAAACTTTGTAGTTACCCATCCTAGGCTTAACCTTGAAACATAAACAAGAGACTAGCTAAAGCTCAATTTGTAACCAACCGCAGTCATTAGCATAAGTATCTTTCTGAACTAAACTCAAAACAAAACTTTCAATCAGATACAGTTCATAGAGGGGCTAACAATTCTTGCCGATCCTACCACATTGCGTTAAGACTGAACAGCGAAAAGCTTAAAGGACAAAAGTTGCAGTTAGCACTAAACAGGAAACTGATCATAGCTGGCAGCCCTCAACAAAGATGGCAGTGAAATCATGGGTCCACCCTCTTTATCCCTGAACCAACATGGCAGAAAAACCACACGTTGTTACAGGCTGTGGTCGGCAATATAAAACATAGCCATTAGGTGTTGATGATGTTGCTACCTGCTATGATATAGCACTGTGGAGCATTTATAGTGTCGTAACCAAGTTCTTACATTGTGATCAATTAAATTTTAGAACCAACTGCATAACAGAACAGCATAGAACAATTTTAAACTGTACTTGAACTATTCTGGCCACACCAAACCTATCGGCCAGAAAGAAACAGCATTAATCCGTTCACTCAGAAACTGGTGGTCAGGCTTATTTTCATATAATGGTTAACAATGACTTGAATTCAACCCTGTATAACCCTGGGCTAACATGGAGCTGCAGTCCTCTTCCCCCTTTAAAGAGCATTGAAGAATCACCAGCCTATTAAATGAAGAACAACATATTTTACAGTTCTTTCTCAAATCATATTTGCAGGTATGAAAAACCAAAGCAAATACAGTTCATATTCCCTCTGGCTTTCCATATACACTCTGACCTTCCATAACATTCTATATACCTTCATGTTACTTTAGACAAGCTATTCTTTTCTTTTTTCTTTTCTTTTCTTTAGTATCCCAGTCTCTTGCTTTCTCTCTTGCTTTTCAGACAACACAAAAACTTCCTTTAATACCCTTCTCATCATTTCTTTCTTTACTAAGTCATTCCATGGGTTTTTACCATCCTGACATGATACAGTGTAAAAACTGCATTTTTCTTAATTGGCTCAAACAGTAGGGCTTGGTTTCATTTAGTAAAATTAATAAAATAAATACTAAAGTCTTTTGACCTCCCCCAAAGGGTTGAGAAACTGTTCCAAGTTCTTTGTTAGACTGCCCAAGGTCATTATTTTAAAATGCCTGATAAACTTTAAAACGTTTGATAGCCTTAAACATTTAAACATTCTCCAAAACCTGTTTTTGCAATATCAGAATAAAGTACACTTTTTAGGAGTGAAATCACAAAGCATAACCATAATTTTTAAAAGTCAAAACCAAATTTTAAAACCAAAATTTACCAGTGCAAACAATCCAATCTTTAAAACCAATACCAATTTAAAATGAGACTTATCTTCTTAGTCTAGAAGGAAATAGGATGATAAACAAAATTCATTGTGATTAAAAGGTTCTGTAATTTTTTTCTTCTGCCCCACCCCATACCACGTGGCAATTTCAAGATGGCGGAGTCACATCACATGGCAGGCCACATGGTTGCTATTTAAAAGCATCTGTGCTTCTATAGATCTTACAGCACATATGCACACACACATATATGTTCTAAACAAGAGTTTGAATTTCACCTTTAAACACATCCAATAACTGTTAATCTGTTACCTCTATAACCAAGACATACAGAGCATGTTAACCATTTAAGATCATTCAGAAACAACCATGTAATGGCCATACATAGATTTAAACAGACAGACAACTTTTCTTACTCCATCCAGCTGTAATTTCAAGCACTTTGTCCATGAGCCAGGACAAGCTCGTATACCTGTCCTACTCTTGGGAGTTCTCCATCTGTCTTGCCCTGAGGCATGCTCCCATCAGCAACCAGAGGTACTCCAGCTCCCATCAGCAACCAGAGGTACTGGGAGCATGGGGCAGGCAAAGTCACTACGGTGCACAGCTGTTTGGTTACCTGCCTGCTGAGACCATCATAAACAAACAAATCCATAAAAGATCAACATAAGAGAAAGGAAGAGGAAGGAGAAAACAAAAGGATAGTGGCTTGTCTCTCACTGGGCCCTCTGCCCTGTTCCATAGGGGTGGCCTGCCCCGAAATCAGGCTCCACCCGATTATACCAGCCTGAAACGGCAGCCTGGTTCTGCCAGACCAGTTGATCTGAGGTTACGGTTCCCTTAGCATGCAGCCGCTGCCACCGCTGCCACCACCACCAGAGTGCTTGCAGAGTGCACTAGGCCCACTGCCGCCATGGTCAGAAGCAGCTGCTAGCTGGCTAGGATAGTTTCATCCCCGGCCCCACCCTCGCATTCCCACCTGCCGCCAGAGCACCTGTGACTCTGCTGCAGCAGGATGCAGGGAGGGGTAATGCCGTGCACGTGGAGGGGTCGGGAGGAACAGGGAGGGATTAGAGGAAGTCTGTCCCAAAGTGTCCATCACAGTCCCACAGTCAGACACAAAGATTCACAAACACAAGGAACAAAACAGGCAGACAAATGCGTGCAAAGTAGCTGTTCCACTATTGAAAACAAAACCGGAACCAAATGCTTGACTTTCACTAGTGGTGGGGAACTCAAAAGTGGAAATAGATGAACACTAGGAATAAAATAGAAAGACAGATGCAGACTGAGTGGCCATGGAGCCATATCACAACTGAAGCTCAGACCCAGAGACCTTCAGATTCCTGCTCTGGTTTCCCTGCCACAGACGTTCCAGAGCAGTGGGTGGTTCTGAACCACCTCCTGGACGGCGGGACTCTACCTGAGTCCCCACCAAAACCTGATGACGCCAAAAAAAGTCTCTCTGACTTTGGCAGCTGTGAATGCCCAGCATGTCTTCCTATAATCAGGCCTGGCTGCCTTCACAAATACAGACACCTCGAGGATTTTTCTGAGTAGAAGACAGAAAGTAGACACACACAGAGACACTTACCAGCCAGCATAAGACCCTCTGGGTTAGGGTCCTGGAGTTCTGGGAGTCCCAGGACGAGCCCCCAAATGTTATGCCCAATTTGTGAGACTCTCAAAGACCACCAGGAATCAACTCCACTGCAAAATACATGAGGGTTTATTTAATACAAGCTTGAGCCTGGGTCACAAAATTTCCTGTGGAAGCAGGAGAGGAATGCAGCAGGGTGGTCTAGGGGAACAAGGTTTGTAAAGGGGAAAAAAAACCCCACAAGCAGTGGATTACATGCCTTGGCATTATATGATTGGGTAAGGGATATTGACTTTTGAAATGATTGGTTGACGTTAGGTGCCAAGTCCATAAACAGTCCTGGCCATCTGGGCCAGTTTCTTAGCAACTGTATCTCTAGTGGGCGGGAAAAGAATGCATTAAGTCTGGTTCCTCTCCCCAGGTGGCTGGACATGTCTCTACCTGGCTGGCCTTCGTTCAGGCTTATGACTTAAACTTTAAACCAATACCCAAACAATCTAATTTTTAATTCTTTTGTCTCTCGGTAGTGATTTCTTTTGTGTGGGGAGGTGGGCATGCAGTACACATATGGAGGTCAGAGGGCAGCTTACAGGAGTCCCTTGTCTTCTGCTGTGTGGGTTCTGTGGACCAGCCTCAGGCTATCAGGCTTGGCTTCTAAGTGCCTGTACTTCCACAAGCCTGCTGGCCCAAGCCTGCTCTTCCACGGCATAGTGTAAGGCTCCAGCTGTGCGAGTCACACCCTGTCTGCCCTTGGGCCTTAGGCCAGCAGACTTCGGATTTGGACTCTTCTTCAGTGCAGCCCTTGCTCTGTCTTGGGTCCCTATGGCCTGGACCAAGGGCAGAGAGAGGATGGATTGTGTGTTCTAGGGGCCTTGGAACGGCCCCTCAGCTACCTCTTTCTTCACAGAGGTGGGAGAGTGCCACATGTCAGAAGACTCCCATATCGTGAGCTTCGATGGCTATGGCCATCCTATCCAGGACTTATGCACCTACATCTTGGTGAAAGTCTGCCACCCCAACATGAACCTGCCTTTCTTCACCATCAGTGCCAAGACTGACAAGGGCATCGGAAGCAAAAGCGTCAGTGTCTTTCAGCTCTACATTGACATCTTCAGCTTCCGTGTCACGCTGCAGAAAGACCATTCGGTCCTGGTATTCTGGGTACCACTCCTGGGCTGGGAAGGGAGAATGGACCCTGCGAGGGGAGGCCTCTGGTTTCTCCATCTGCTCATGGTTCTGTCTTTCTCGTCAGATCAATGACACACTGGTCACCCTTCCTGCCACCACCCAGATCCCAGGAGTCAGCATCACGACTGAAGACGCCTATACCATTGTCACAATTAAGGATGAAGTCCAAGTCAAATTTGAGAGCAGTAATTTCTTAGATATCAAAATCCCTGCATCCTCTCATGGAAAGGTGGGAAGGGGAACATGGTCTTCAGGGGGTGGAGTGGCACCCCAGTCTAACACACCAGGGAGGCCATTCCCAGCAGAGAGGAAGAAAGCTGAACATTCATTTTCATGTAGGGATGGCAAGCATGCATCAATGAAACCAGATACCTGTAGAGCCTGCCATGTTAGCATGCACCTCTAGTCCTAGCACCTGAGAGGCTGAGGCAGGAGGATGGCAAGCTCACGCTACCTAGAGAGATCATGTCTCAAAGAACCAAATGGCTTAGGTTTAATTTCTTTTTGAAGAGGGCCTCCCTACTACCCGGGAAGCCCTGGGCTCCATCAACAGTAGTGCATAAACAGCGTGTGTGTGTGTGTGTGGGGGGGTGCAAGCCTATAATACCTGCACTTACGAGTTGGAGGCAAAAAGATCAATAATTTAAGGCCATCCTCAGCTACACATCAAGTTTGAGGCTAGCCTGGACTACAGAAGACCCTTTTCCAAAAAAGGAAATAATAATAACAATAGCAATAATAAATGTGGTGAGGGTTGTAGCTCAGTGGCAGAAGAGCTGCCTAAAGCCCTGGGTTTCAGCTCAAAAAAGAAGCAAGCGCTTACCCTTACTACCTACTTCTCACTGAGAACACCTCCTTCTGCGTGCCCAGTTGTGCGGTGTGTGTGGCAATTTCAATGGCGAAGAAGAGGATGAACTCATGACACCCAGTGAAGAACTAGCTGAGGACGAGGAGGAGTTCATGGACAGCTGGAAAGACAGGAACATCGATCCACAGTAACGATCCCTAAGTCTGTCCCTTCATGCGTCCTCCCTTCCTTCCACCTCTGCCCTCTCAGGGCAGGTCTCCTGTGGAGTCCTGGCTGGCCTGGAATGTAGAGGTTGACTAGGTTAGCCTTGAACTCATCAGTGTCCTCTTGCCTTTGCCTCCAGAGGGCTGGGATTACAAGCATGTACAACCACACTTTTATTTTTTACATACAGTGGGTCTCAAACATGCCAGGCAAAGGCCCTAACCTGGAACTGTATTCCCAACTTCCAGTTCATTTTATTTATATTATATACATTTATTTATATTATATATTTATACATTTATATTATATACATTTATACATGTATGTATAAATAATAAATACATTTATTATACATTCTACATAAATACATTCATATTATATATTATATATATTATATACATTATATATATATATATTGTGTGTGTGTGTGTGTGTGTGTGTGTGTGTGTGTGTGTGGTGTGTTTAAGGCATGGTTTTAGGTATTCCATGTTAGCCTCAAGCTCACCTATAGCTAAGGAAGACCTTGAACAACTTTCTTTCCTTCCTTTCCTCTCTCCCTCCCTCTCTTCCTCCCTCCCTCCTTCCTTCCTTCTTTTTCTCTCAAGACACAAAGGTCCACCTGCTTCTGTGTCCAAGTGCTGGGATTAAAGGTGTGCTCCGCTGCCACCACCTCTGGTGAACAACTTTAAACATTTTAATCTATTTTATTTTATGTGTGTGAGTGTGTGCCTGTATGTGCATATGTGCCCCACATATGTGCCTGGTGCTGTGGTGCTCAGAAGAGGGCACTGGATCCCCTGAAAATGGACTTCTGCATCATGTGGGGGCTGGACATTGAACTTGGAGTCCTCTGCAAGAGCAGCAAATTGCTAACCACAGAGCCATCTCTCAGCCTCCTCGAACAACTTAAAGTGTTTTCTCTCAATTTTCTGAACTCTCTGTGTGTGTACATGTGCCATGTGCACCTGTGGAGTCAGAGGACAATTTGCAGAAGTCCGTTCTCTCTCTCTCCATTCTGTAGGTTCCAGGGGTCCAATTCAGGTCCTGAGGCTTGGTGGCTTTACTGGCTGAACTGTCTCACCAGCCCAACTCTGAGCCCCCGCCCCTCTGCCCCTGGTAAGCAGGCGTGCACCGCCATGGGCAGCTCTCCTGAGCCCTTGCTTTTCCTGCTCTAGCTGCCACAAAATCGAAGAGCACAGCATCCAAGTGGAACAGCAGGAGATCATGAACGGAGACTGCAGTCCCGACGCCTTTGAGAGAGCTCAGGCAACCTGCCACACTGCCCTGCAGGACCCTGCCTGGGCCCAGTGTGCCGCCCACGTGCCTCTCAAGCCCTTCCTGGTTGGCTGCATGAACAGCTTCTGTGAATTCAGGGAGCTCCTCCACGTGCTCTGCGAGTCTCTGCACTCCCTCCAGATGGCCTGCGAGGACCAGGGGCTCCGGCCGCCCGTCTGGAGGAACAGCAGCTTCTGCCGTGAGTCTCTTGTGGGCATCCACAGTGACCCCAGATCTATTCCCCATGTAGTTCTCTAGCTCAGGCTGGCCTCAGGCTCACACTCCTCTGCCTCCCGAGCCCTGGGGTGATAGTTGTGTTCTACTGTACCCTAAAAACCTGTGTGTGCACATGTACTCTGTGTGTGTATGTGTGTGCTTGTGAGTTCGTGTGTCTGTGTGTAGGTGTGTAGGAGCATATGCCTGTGTGCACAGAGGCTAGAAGCCAACCTTCCATGGTGTTCTTCAGTCCAGCCACCCACCTTATTACATGCGATGTATCTGAGAGCATGTCACCTTTTATTATGTATTATTTACAATAACTCATCTCCCCCTTCATGTTTGCACGCCTGTGCTGGTGTGCTTGTGCAGGGCTTATTTAGGCAGCCATGTTGAACCGTCAGGAATGAAGCTCCCTGCTGTTTCTAGGACACACACTCATAGCAGCTGTCCCGACCCCCTGGTCCTGACGCTCCTGTCCTCTTCTGCTCTCTGAGCTGAGCTCAGTTTGCTGTGTGTCAGATGGCTCTAGCAGCTGTTTTGCTGTGGTTTGTTTAATTCGTATTTCACGTACATTGGTGTTTCTCTGCACGTGTCTGTGTGTCCAATCCCCTTGAACCGAAGTTACAGACAGCTGTGAGCGGCCATGTGGGAGCTGGCAATTGAACCCAGGTCCTCTGGAAGAACGGCCAGCGCTCTAACCACTGAGTATCTCTCCAGCCCTAGGCAGTTGTTTGTTTTTTGTTTGTTTGTTTGTTTACACTTTGACCACTTTTGGTTTTTCATAACGGTTTCCACCTTCTGCGAAGAGAAGCTTCTCTGGTGAGGGCCACTCGTTTCTGTGGCTGTGAGGACAAACAGAAGAATGCAGTTCAAAATTATTCTGGTTTGGTGAAGCGATGGACTCTTCTGTAAATGCACAAGCTCACTAGCCCCAGGCTGTTTCCAGGATGAGCTGCTCTCTCTCCCGAGCAGGTGTGAGCCCACTTAGAGAGCTGTTGCTCACTGCCAAGACAGACAGGCTGCTGCTGCGCAGCGCGGCTATCATTCCGTGCTGGTCGATGTTGGCTCAGAGACGCCACCGCTGGCCAGGACTACCGGTCACTTCTTCCTTTGAAATCGGCACATACCTGCTGGCGCTCTGAAGGCCCGTCCTCAGGGACTTTCGGTAGCTCAGACCCTCCAGTACTGTATCCTGAGCGCATGCGTCTTCAGCAAAAGGAATCCACCTGACCTTCACAGGCCAACAAGGCCGACAGCCTGGATTGTTTGGGGGAGGCTTTTGGACTTCCCCGACCAACCACTCCACTGGGTTTCTGCCACTGGATCCTGGGGGTTTATTAGTCGGTGCTCCGTGGAGCACGGCCAGCCCAAGCGACACAGCTTCATTTAAACCACATATGTACACACACACACTCATTGTAGTATATGTAGTTTCGTGGGGGGCTAAGACGGGGTCTCTCTGTGTAGCCCAGGCTGTCCTGGACTCACTCCGTAGACCAGGCTGGCCTCCAACTCAGAGATCCCCCTGCCTCTAGAGGTCTCCCGAGTGCTGGGATCACAGGCGTGTGCCGCCACCGACCGGCTTGTTTTTCGTTTTTGTTTTTGTTTTGGTTTGGTTTTCTTGGGTTTTTTTGCCATTGAAAAACAAAACCATGGCGTTGGTTTGTGCTCTTCATTTACGGTTGGTGTGCAGGCTCCCGTTGGTGTGGGTCCTTTCCTGGGGGTGCACTGTTGGAGAACACTGACGCCCCTAGCAGGCAGCTCAGCTAAGGACAGCGCATTCGCATTTCCCTTCTCTGAGCTGAGGCGCTGTTGGCGTGAACTGGTGTGTCACAGACAGGTCGACTCCATATGTGCAAACGCCGTGCACGTCCTTGCGGTCATGCACCCAGACTTCCTAGACGGCCAGACATGGCCTTGAGTCCTGATCCTCTTGCGCCACCATGCTGGCCAAGTTGTCTAACTAATAATGTAATAATAATACGCAATAAATAAAAATTAAAGCCAGAGACATGGCTCAGGAAGTAAGGGCACTTCAGGATCTTTGTGATTGTGTAACCATAAGTCAAGAGCCTTTAAAATTTACAACATGGGACTGGAACGATGACTCAACAGTTAAGCACTCTTGCAGAGGCCCCAAGGTCAGGTTCTAACATCCAGGTCGCTCACAAACCACTGTAACTCCACCCCCCGGGGACCTAATAGCTTCTGCTGGCCTCTGTGGGCACCTTTACATGCACACACGCGCGCGCACACACACACACACACACACACACACACACACACACACACAAAGAAAAAAAATCTTAAAATGTAGGAGGAATGATGAAAACTCTCGGTCCTTAGAGTTGCCCCTCCACGGGCACAGGGCCCTGACTAGAACCAGGAGCCCTGAGAGCAGCAATGTTTGAGGGTGTTTGTCCCTTTCATCGAGGGGCACGAGGCCTGTGGAGGACCTGTGACCCTCAGCGCAGGCTCGGCTGGCCCCAGCCGGCCGTCTCTAGATGGCGTCTGCTATTGTGTGCTCTTGTCAGCTCAGCCAGGCCAGCCAGGCCAGGCGTGGAGCCCGCTGGGAGCCACATCGCCTCGACACCCCAGTGATGGCGCTGGGAGAGGACAGGTTCACCAGCTGAGAGGAACAGCACACCGGCGACGCTTCCTGTCTACGAACAGTGTATACTCCATTTGTTCACTCTCTGTTTCGATTTTTATTGTATTTATTTGTCATGTGTCTGTGTGTGTGCATGTGCCTTCGTAAACGTGTAACAACGCACACGTAGAGGTCAGAAGAGAACTTTTGGGAGTGACTTCTCTCCTTTCACTGTGTCGACCCCAGAAATTCAGTTCAGGTTGCCAGGCTTGACAGCAAGCAAGGAAATGTCTTGAGCCATCTCTCTGTGTTGTTAAGTTCACTTACGTAGCCAAGGGCAGCCTTGGTTCTGGGACTCCTGCTTCAGTCCCGAAAGTGCTGGCAGCTGTGGTGCCGCACACAGAGCCCTTCCCCTTAGAGACACTGTAAATTCCTTGGCAGTCTCACTATACCAGGTACTCCGTGTATATCCGAGCTCACTGAGGACAGGAAGGCATGAAGTCACCTTGCCACAGCTGGCTGATGCATACGAGTTTCCCACATTAATTGAAAAGAGCCTGCCTGCCTCCCTCCCTCCCTCCCTCCCTCCCTCCCTCCCTCCCTCCCTTCCTGCCTTCCTCCCTTCTTTCCTTCCTTCCTTCCTTCCTTCCTTTCCCTTTTCCCCTCTTTTCCATTCTTCCTTCCTCCCTCCCTCCTTTCCTTCCTCCTTCCCTCCCTCCCTTCCTCCCTTCTTTCCTTCCTTCCTTTCTTCTTTCTTTTTTCTCC